TATATACCTTTCAGCTACTAGACCCGATATCTCCTATGTTGTTCAGATGGTTAGTCAATTCATGACTGTACCCTATGTGGATCATCTCTCTGCCGTACATAGGATATTGCGGTATCTTCAAGGAACACAGGATGTTGGTATATTGTTTCCTTCCACTGGTACGTCCACGATTACTGCGTATTCAGATTCTGATTTTGCAGGCTGCATTGAAACTCGACGTTTAACTTCAGGGTGGTGTGTTCTGTTTGGGGGTGCTTATATCTCCTGGAGGTGTAAAAAGCAAGACAAGGTCTCAAAATCTTCCACTGAAGCCGAATACAGAGCAATGTCTGAAATGGCCTCTGAAATGGTGTGGCTTCATAGGTTGTTGTCCGATTTTGGTGTTTGTTGTCCCACACCTATGGCTTTGCATGTTGACAACACTAGTGCGATCCGCATTGCAGAAAATCCAGTTCTTCACGACCGTACAAAGCATATCGAGATTCATGTGCATTATGTACGTGATCTCATTCGGGATGGCACGGTGAACTTAAATCACATTCAGACAGAGGAGCAGGTAGCAGATATGTTCACGAAGGCCTTCTCTACTAGCCGACACTGGTATCTTGGAAACAAATTGATGCTGAGAGATCGGCATCAATTTGGGGGAGGATGTTAATGTTATAAGTGTAGTTAGGATACTGTTATGTGATGTAGAGAGTTATTAGTGGAGTCCTACTTGTTAAAGGCCCACACGTAGAGTACCCATGCAGACCCATAATCATGCTCGGTTAGACGTAGCTTGCTGATTCTAACCTAGGGCATGATACGTATATAGGGTGTAGAGATTTGACAGCCGATGAACACTGTCTCTTAATCATCTCAGTAAAATCAGTAGTCTGAAGAGCGTTCAAGCTCTTCCGTGAATTAGTCCTGGATATTTTCCAGAGATACCACGTAAACTTCGATGTCCGTGTTTGATTTCATTTCCGTTTCGTTATCAATCTGCTTCTGTTAACAGTTGCAGCCCAGATGGCATGTGGAAGATCTCTCCCGCCTCGATAGCTAGCTCTGGTTTTTCAAGCAAGCGGTGAGTACCGTCATATCCATCCCATGGTGAGCAGAATTCCACCCAGCCATAGGCAAAACCATATTTAGGAGAGAGGAGAGAGCTCCTCTCGCCATTTTTTTTGTTTTTTTTTTCCGTTGCTAATTATCTAAATAAACAAATAAATTTGGTCTTTTCTTCTTTGAAGGGCCGCCAAAGCTTTAGGTCTCTTTCTTCTCTCTTCCTTCGGAAAAGCCAACGCCACCACTATAACGACCAAAATATCTATTTTGTTCACCCACCCAAAATATCTTGTACAAGAGAGAGAGAGTCTAGCAGCCAAAAGATCTTGACAATAGTATATCTTCCATTCCCATGTGCTATGATTGCCTTTCATTCGCTCTTTTGCTTTGGGAGTATGTTTGAGCTATATCGTATTTGACCTATTTGTTTATTTTGTGAAGGGTATGTCATCAACACTAATTTCTATAACCTATTCATGTAATAGCATGTCCTGTTATAAAAATAGTGTTCGGTGTGGTATCTTAACAATTTTAGTGTTTTATTAGCAAGAAAAAAGGGTGTGTCATAAGCTCTAGCAATATACAAGATGGTATTTGGCTAGTTATTTGAATGAGGGAATCGAATGAGATATCTGGATTTCACGAGTTATAATGTAGCATTTTGCGTTTGAAAAAGTGACATCATAATGTTTGAAAAATATAAAATGATAGAGTGATGACTTGCCAAATGTTGTGTTTTGATCTCGACGTTTTTCAATTATTAAGTTTCTTTTACCCTGATCGTCATATTTTTTGAACAACTCATTCAAATAATTGTGATGCTCTTGAATATATTGATTAACTGTTGCGACAGCTTAAATATAAGCCCTGGAGGCAACAAACACGCTTATAAAAGATTTATAAAAAAATTTAGTGCTCTTAATTGGTTTGTGTGGGTTGCTTTTCTCTTCTCGTCCTGTATAGATATAAGTTGAATCTACATCATCAGGCTTTCAGATTATGTGACAAATTTGATTAGTTTAATGTATGTTGCATAAATGATGCCAATTCTTCGAGTCTTGGATTTTGATGCACGGAAGCTTAGCTTGCTTCTCGTTATTAGTTGTGTGGTAATGAAATAATAATAATAAATATATATATAATTGTTTCAAGTCGTAATAGGCACTGATTTCTTATCGTGAGCCCATCTAACTTCAATTAATTCATAAAAATGGAAAGGGCGGCAGTGGAAAGAAAAAGGAAGTGGGGAAATGATATTGGAGAAGAAAGTAGAATAGGCAGCAAGAAAGGGTGCCACGTTGAAATGTTGGCCGACGGTAATGAAGCAAAAGAAACTGCAAACTTCGCCTTTTCCTTCTTGTTTTGAGCTAACCTAATAATAACATGGTGTTTGTTTCCCGTTCTTTTCTTCTGAAGACCTAACTCTTATGTATATCAATATATAAGTACAACTAATAGGTGTGACAATTTCGATTTGATCCGTTTTATTCAATTTGTTTGAATTATTTTGATGTGGGTCCGACCCGTTTTGTAGGCGGGATGGAGCGAGTATGGGTACTCTCATCGACCTGACCTATCATGACATGCCTTATTCTCGACCTGTTCTCACCTAAATTATACGTAATGTTAGTTAAATTAATTAAGATTTTTTTATTACCTCAAATTTTAGCTATTATAAAATTGTATATAAGTGAAAATATCGATTTCTTTAATAATTTAACTACATTTATCATATTATGGTTTGTTTTTTGGTCTTCTAATGAAAATAGCAAATGTTTTCCATGTAAATTACATATAAATTAGGTCGACCAGTCCCGAATTTTATCCCATAATAAATTATCTGATCTGAACTCGACCTGTCTCATTGCCATTCAACCAGTTCATTTCGGACTAAGACTAGTTTGGTAACCGCAAAAATTTAGTACCGGTACATACATGGAAAAGGGATTCCAACTCTAGAATATGCCCCATAAAAAAAACTCTAGAATATGCCATTTTCAAAGTGGTACTCTTATCATTGCGAATTTTATGTTTACAACAATTATTGTTTGACTTGAGGAATTATAGGTTAAGTTTGTGAAAGCATCTCCTTTTTGGGGAAGTAAAATGGCAAGTTTTAATAGCACATAATTGTGTATTGTACATGAATTTCTTGTAAAAAATCAAGCAAAGGAGGAGTGTGTTAAGAAATTAGGGTTCTTGAAGATTCACCAAGAAACATATGAATGGGTTTGTTTTAGCTTTTCTTATAATACCATATACAAATACTTTTTTGAATTATAGTACTATAAAAAAATATGAAGCGTAGAAAATAGTAGGTTTTACTAGTATGTATGAACTTGTTTTTATATGATTAAATATGAGACATTTCTTAGCAATAAGAAGAAATAATAGTATGATTCGTAGTTTTTAACAGCAAATAAAAAATTATTATATTAATATGATTAATAATTTTTGGGCATCGAAGCGGAAAACGATTTCGATCATAACGGCCAAAATTTGTTATCACATCCTAGAATTTGCTTGATACTAATATGAGAACGATGATACCTTTATTTCACTAATAACAAATGCTTAAATGGTTACATAGTAAGTTAGTAACATTACTTAATAAGTTCTTGTCTATGATTACTATGTGTTTAATAGTTATGCACTTGTGCTTATCGCTTAATGCAAGCGGATGTGGAAAGAGGGAAAGGGCAGAACCGGAAAGGAAAATATGAACAAAAGGTGCCAGGTGGGACCGACAGTGGAGCCCACAAAGGTTGCCCTTTTTGCCTTTGTTTTTCTCTAACAATTGCGCTTTTTATCGGCCTGATGTCACGTTTTTCTCAAATACGTACCTCCTCACCCACCCACGCATTGCCTATCCATCCCCTTCCCCTTCTCTCCTTTTTTCATTTTCCTCCCATTCCATTTTTTTTTCTTCCACAACCAGAGCAGCAGCAGAGAGGCGAACCAGAGAGAGAAAAGAGAAGAGTCAGAGAGCTCAAAGCTTTCTTCTTTTTACCCTTGGAGGGTTTTCTTCAACTTTCCTCCCCTTGCCCTTTACAGAGATTGATTGAAGTATTATTCTAATATATCATTTCTGGCTTCGACTGCTTTTGTTACTGGATCCCCTCTCTCTCGCCGCCATACCCTTTTTTTCAGGTAAGCTTTTGTTGTCGATTTTCTCCGTGGAGAAATGGATCTTCTTTCTCTTGTTGTGTTGCTTTGTATGTGTTTGAATTTGATCTTTCTTTCTTACTTCACTTTTGGCTGATTGATGGATTCCGATGATTATGGGTTCTTTTTTTTCTTGTTTTTAATTTTAACCTGTCTCAATTTTTGTACCAGACTTGTTCTCGGTTCCTCCTCTGTTTCTGTGATGTATTCTGTTTTCATTACAAGATTCGTCCCGGAAAAAGTTGTGGGTGGTTTTTGTCTTTATTTGGTACTTGTTGACTGCTGCGGATCTACTCCTCGTTGTTGAGTCTTTCTGCCTCTTGGTACCTCCTCCTTTTTGAAGCTTTCCCTTTTGGTGGAGCTGTTGATTTTGCTAGGAAAACTGAGAAAGATTGCTCCTTTTTTCGACTGGGGAAATTGGGGTCGTACTGGTTCTACTCGGCTGACTTGTCTTCTTGAGAGTGGTCTAGATGTGGAATGAGGAAATTTTTTCTCTTTTTATTTTCTTTGAGTGTTCATTATTGGGAGGGTTTTTACTGAGGATAAAAGTTGAGCTGGCTTAGTTGAGCTGTCAGTCTGCATCACCCTCCCTTGAACTTCTTGTTTGTGTTCGTTTCCTCTTTGTTCTTTTCTTCTCTTATAGCTGAATTGGTTTACTGAACTTGCTGCGTTTTGTTGCTTTTTGTAGGGTTTTCAAGACTGGGATTTCGTTGAAGAAGCGAAATTCTGTTCTCTGTGGTGTGGAAGATTTGGTGTACTTGTCAGAGGGATTGGATTTTGGAAATATGGGTTATGTGTGTGATTTTTGTGGTGAGCAGAGGTCGATGGTATATTGTCGCTCAGATGCGGCTTGCTTGTGTCTATCATGTGATAGAAATGTTCACGCTGCCAATGCTCTATCGAAGCGCCATTCGAGAACCCTCTTGTGTGAAAGGTGCAGTTCACAACCTGCGCTAGTTAGGTGTGCAGAAGAGAAGGTCTCGCTTTGTCAGAACTGCGATTGGACGGGTCATGGCACCTCGACATCAGCTTCCGCACACAAGAGGCAAACTATCAATTGTTATTCTGGTTGCCCTTCAGCTTCCGAGCTTTCTTCGATATGGTCTTTCGTTCTGGACTTCCCTTCTGCCAGCGAATCTACTTATGAGCAAAACATGGGATTAATGAGCATAGCTGAAAATGTTGCCACGGAGACATGGCCGTCGTCTAAGGAAGAAGCTGATCGCCAAAATTTGGAGAGTATTCTTCAGATGAGCGATTCACGTGAGGTTGGTAAATCAAGTACTTGGGATGAGTCTCGATTGATGTCTGGGTCAACCACCAACCCACACAGACAAGCTCATCAGCCTGCTGGATCGGGTAGTTCAACATTGCCAAAGGTATATGGTACTTCATATTCTCCATCATGAAGGATTGACAATGTAGATTCTAGTCTTTCATGTGAAATGGTCCTTTTTAGGTGCGTGCATTGTTTTTGCTCCTTTATTATTTTACACCACAGCCTTTATTCATCATATTATGAGTTGTATGGTCCTAGGTCTTCAATTGGCCACCTGGTCTTTTTGAGCCTCTCTCCTGACTTGTATATTCCTGGTTTTTGCATCTGATCTATCGATGGAGATACTCATTTGAGATGATTCAAAATTTCACAGTTTCATAGTACTACCTTGACAGTGTTCCACCTAGGGGTGTGTGCAGCTATAAAGCGGTGACTGCAGAACTTTAGCTGTACTGGCACTTGCCATTTATTATTCGAGTAGAAGACATATAAATCCTCATTCATACATTTATCACTACTGCTGTGTGATTGAAAAAATTATCCCAATCTTCTTCCTGTACTCTATGTTCAATGATATGCTCAATTATTTGTTTGCACAATTTGATTCGCTGTATAATATTGTGGCGTTCTCTTTTACAAGTATATTCAGATCACTAAACTTCATGCTGTAAAAAATGCAGTTAGGTTATCCTGGAAGTAAAAGTGCTACATTCTCTGGAGATGATGGTCTTTATGATGACTTCAATATGGATGAGATGGATTTGAATCTTGAAAACTATGATGAGCTCTTTGGTGTCGGTCTCAACAATCCAGAGGAAGCTTTTGAGGGTGCTGGAATTGCTAGTTTGTTCGGAACAAAGGACATGTCTGGCGCTGAATCCAACTGCCAGGGTTCTGCTGCAGCTGAGGTTATGCTCTTTCATTCGTCGTTCTGTTTTTACAGTACTCCTCCACATGACAAATCTTTTTCCTTGTTCCCTGAGGTTCTGATACTGTCGCCATTGTTGTATGTGTTTATTGATTAGCTGGTTGGAGGGTTATAATGGGTGCGGGTCGTTGGTGGCCATTGGATATGTCATCAAGTGTTAAACTCTTGGGTTAAAGTCTTGATCCTTCCCCTTCTTCAGGTGTCATCAGTTGGACGTGTGAATGCAATGCAGCAGCCCACATGCAGCAATGCAGCATCTGCGGATTCCATTGTTAGCACTAAAACTGAACCAGTTATCTGTGTTACGGCAAGGCAAGGTCATTCGACTCTTTCGTTTTCGGGCATTACTGGGGATAGTAGCGCTGCAGCAGATTATCAAGATTGTGGAGCTTCTCCAATGCTGCTTATGGGAGAGCCTCCTTGGGGTCCCCCTGGTGCCGAGGGCTCCCCATCGGCAAACCGGACTAATGCTGTGATGCGGTACAAGGAAAAAAAGAAGACACGCCAGTAAGTTTTGATGCTCAAGTAAAAATACGGCCCATAAGCCAGCTCTTTCTGTTGACTTGACACACTTTTTTTCATTACTAACCGTGTGCTTGTTGTTGCTGCAGGTTTGAAAAGAGAGTGCGGTATGCTTCGCGCAAAGCAAGAGCCGATGTACGGAAGCGTGTGAAGGGCCGGTTCGTGAAAGCCGGTGAACATTACGATTACGATCCCTTGACGGAAACCAGAAGCTACTGAGAGAGTACAGTTTTTCTAAAACCAAAGTCCCCTTCCAGAGAAGGAAGGATCAGATTGTTCTGATGTGGAGAAATTCAATCCTTGTCTTTGCACCAGACACTGGCTGAATAACTCCACTTTTCCTTGTGCAGTGACAAGATGTAACTGACTCTAGGGTCTGAAGAGGAAGGGAGACAAATTATGGCAAAGGAGAAAATGGAAAGGGATTTATAGTACTCAGGTCCACGAAATTGAGGAGTTCCTTTCCAATTCCCATAACCATTGGTGGACTGACAAATTCCTGGAACAAAGGAGAGAGTACCTAGTTTGCAGTGTATAAAAATTGATGAATGCTCGCAACGACGATGTTTTGTATTCTTGGATTCGCAGGCAGTCGCTTTTTCGTGAGAAAGAGCGGCTGGTCTCGCAGGCTGTAGAAATGATCTCTGACTTAAGTCCTCAACTTAAGTTATAATTTTGATGGTATGTATAGCAAAGATGAAGAATCTATGTATGTTTACTATTCAGCGGGCAGTTATGATGATATTGATAGCTGACCCCCGGTGTCAGGGAGGGATTAAATGGTATTTCTTTAGGTGGGTACATACTCCAACAGAACGAGAAGCTGAGGAGGAAAGCTCAGCAGCTGAATCAGGAAAACCAGGCCCTGCTCAACGAGCTCCAGTGCAAGCTCTCTTCCAAGGGACAGAAGAATAACAATGAAGATCATGGATCAACTTCTTCCAGCTCCAAACCAGATGTAGGCAACTCCTCCAGAAACCGTTAATTCTATTGTTCGATAACAGCTTGTCTCTGCCTTGAGGAACATATATATATATATATATATATATGAGTTTTTCTGTTGTTGTTGGCTTTCTTGTCTGCAATTACACCAACTGATCGATCTTCAAGTTGTAAATTGGAATGAAGACATCAACAGATGATTCCCTTGGGAGTTGGGATTTTACCATGTTCTGGCATTTAGGCAAAGACCTCAGTTCAGTTTGCACAACTTGCCTAGCAGCATTGCATGCACCCACACACAAGTCAACCATTGATGTCCTCAAGACAGATTTTACTTTAACTGTGTATTCCCTCGACAGGCTTTCTCTGTATAGAGTGGGATGGTGATGAAGATGATGAGATGATTTGGTTGTTTTTGAAGTGGTTGTGCTACTTGGGGACGGGATATGGTGACAACCAATACTTTTTTGTAATACTTGGGGACGGGATATGGTGACAACCAATACTTTTTTGTAATAATTATGTTGGAAGTTAAAAACCCATATTAAATATAAGTATTTTTTTAATTCAAATCCTATACATTTATATTTCTCTCTCTTCCTTTCTCAAGCGGCCACTCCGCATCGACCAACAGACTTTTTCTCCGGTGAAATCCTTCCGGCAGACTTTTCTCTGGCGACCTCGCAACGGCGGCAATAGTGGGAGACAAAGTGCGGCGAGAGGGCTCTGACGGGGAGAGGATGATTGTGCCGCGGTGGTGGGAGGCAAACGTTGCAACGGGCCGGCGGAGAGAGAGTTGCAATGGTAGGGGGTGGAGGGAGGCTGAGGATTGCGGAGGAGGCGGCGGTAGAGGGCTCGACAAGCGTCTATGGGAGACAGTGGCGACGAGCCGACGACGTCGGCGGCGGAGGGCTCTGCGACGGTGATGGCTGCGGGAGAGAGGGAGGAGGGAGGAGTTAGGGTTTTTTCTATTTATATGGTAGGGTGAATGATTGGGTGTGGTAAATTTTTTCCTTTCCAAAAATACCCTTTCTTTAATCTTAACCGTTAATTTGAAAAAAGAAGAAAGAGACAAGAGAGAGAATGTATCCAAGAGCTATGAAGTGGGTTATGAATCTAGGGGTTGTCACCATATCCGCCCCTGCTACTAGGTTACTATTTTTGTTGATTACGAGCTACAGTTCTGGGGATTGTTTCTAAGATAGCAAGATACCGGAGTAATCTTATGTTTGATATTGTTGGATCTGCAACCAACAAGGCAACCAGTAGCTTAGTTTCAACTCATCTGGAGTAAATACTCTTATTCCCAAGCATAGTTTTTTTAGCTGGCTAGTGGTGAATGGTTTGGAATGTCACAACAAGTATGATTTGGTGTGAAAGGTGCTTAACCCCCTGTTTTTTACGGAAGAAAATGGGGTGAAGGAAAGTGTTTGAAAGGAAATTAAATTCCCAATGCATTTTCCCTTGTTTCTGAAAGAAGGGGGGGAAAGAAAAGCAACAAAAATTTAATGTACCATCAATCCCTCCAAAAGTGAGAGAAAACTAATACCATCATATTTAATTCAGTCATCTCTCCTCTCTCTTCTCTCTCTCTTTTCCCCTTCTCCTTCTTCGTGCGTGCCTCCCCCAAACAATAAATGAAGGTTTTCTCATCTCCATCTCTGCTCCATCTTTGATTCATCTTTGATCAATCTACTAGCTCTTCAGTTTTGGTCCTGGAAAGTTTGTTAGGAAAAGTGGTTGAAATTGCAGGTTACATTTGAACTGCTTTCCATTTTAACAAACCCACAGAGTGGATGGCCATTTGCCCATTCCAACGTTTGTTTTTTTACACTAGTGTTGTCCATTTATGCTCATGGCAACAAACAGACCCGTTGCTTTTCAGTGAATACAATTCTCGATCTTATAATTTGTGATTATATACGGGTTATCCGTCCCGTACGGGTAATGGGTACTCGTTAACCCGTACGAGTTTGGAATATGAGTTAGAGTTTACTCACCAAATGGGATTGGGTACCAATCCCGTCCCGTTGCCCACCCGTCATTTTTAGTTGCTAGTTGATGAATCCCAAAAATAGAGAACAAAATTTTAACAATATGTTCACAAAAAAAAATTCAAACCATCTACTTTTGATTTTTATAGTGAACAAAATTAGTAAGAAAGTACAAATTTAATTCACAATTTATAACCCATGAAAATAATATTAACATATAATCAAATTATTTTACTATTATAACCCAATAAAATATCATACCCATCACAATTTCCAATACACATTTTCTTTCCCACTTTCCTCCATAAAACACAATTTTCCTTCCATTTTCCTTAACCTCCAAATTATCCCTCCCCTCTCCTCCATTTTCCTTCCATCTTTCGAGAACAGGGGGTAAGAGTATATGAAGGCAAATCCAAGTACAATGGAGAGATAGTACAATCTGTTAGAAGGATGATTGAGCTAGCAAGAGTGGGTAACCCGACTATAAACTCTGATTGTAGCAGTGTCTTTTTGTAACCAATATAGGCTTGTATAGGTAGTAGGAAAAGTAACAGGGGGAGTACACTTACAGTAGTACTGCATATTGCAGTTTGTAATAGATAGATGTTGCTTCTCCAAATTATGGGGATTGCATTGTGATTAATAAATTTTTTTGATATTGTCCATAAAAAAAAAATACGATGCATGTACGGGTTAACTTTAAGCTACTGAGAACTGGATGATTAGTCTACATAATTTCTCAGTTTTCAAACTATAATGAAGAAAAGAGACCAACATGGTACCCAGGAATGAGGGAAAGTTTTTTGTCTAGAATTTTGCTAATTTAACATATTACATTGCAGAGAACATAACATATCAATCCAACATCGTGTTCTTTGCATTCATAGAGACAAAATTGTGGGGCAATAAGCAAAAAGGAAGCATAGATCTTGTTTGAAAGTAGTATATCAATTCTCATATGAACTACTGTCGTCAGAACTCCTTCTAATGTTATCTTCTACACCAGCATCCTGCATGGACATGGAAAGGTGATCACCAAGAGTACCTAAGTAAAAATGTTTTATGTTGCTTATGTTTGTGAGCGAGATGCAATTGACCTACCTGCTTCTTGTCCCAGTCTTTCATCTTCAGATTCGTTAACATAGAGTCGTCGCGCAAGGGAGCCCATGATGGAGCTCCTTCTGCATCTTCTAATGTGTTGGCCTACATGATTAACCAAAATGGAGTTTGAAACAACAAGTTGCAGATTTTGGGCTGAAGTGGTAAATTCAATGTGGAAACAAACGAGTCAGCTCAAGATTCTGAATATTTCAACTGCAATAGTTAAGTAAAAGCAACCAACCTTAATAGTTGAACTGCCTGATGGAGCCTTGCGTAACTCGCCATAGAAAGCATCTTTCTTTCTCTTGTTTATAACTAAAAAGATTCAGAACAGCAAAATGCACGTATTCAGAGGAGATAAACAAGTATATCACATCAGAAGCAAATGCCAATGAGCAATAAGCGCAGGGGCAACAGGACAATGAAATGAAAAAGCATGCCAGTAAATGAGCCAACTTATGAAATGATTTCGTTTCTAGATTCCAATTGGTGGTACAATACCTTTTGCATCTTTTGATCTTAAGGGATTTAATCCCTTCTGTGCAACTTGTGCCTTGTTAACCTGCAACACCAAACATTTACATATATCAACCAATCGTTCAGCCAACAAGGGATATGCGATAATTGAAGTTCTCAATCAAACCAACCTCCCGCATTGAACAACTTCACCACTGGCACCAACAAAGCGAGTCATGTGCAGAAAAAGATGAACAGATTCAGTGCTTCAAGTGAAAGATCAAATATAAGAGCACACAGTGCCGGAAAGATCTAAGCCTGAAACTAGAATCACTGCCTCCTTTTGTAGCCACACTAATCAGAACCCTTTCATGCGTATCCAAGAAATTAGTCGGCTTCATATGCCCCTTCTCAGCAACCTAACCAAAAATGCAGTAAACAACATTAACCTAATGTCTAGCAATTCGCCGAATGAGAACTGCAAAATTGAACTTGAACGTCAATTTACCAATTTCTTTCCTTCTTGGCATCTCCTTTAGCCTTCCTTTCTACTTCTTCCTCCGCAAGCTCTGCTGCTACTAGCTTCTTGTGTACTGATAACACAGGTCCCTGCAACAAAAACCCGTCAAATTTTCAATACACAGGTCCCAGCAACAAAAACAGCTAGAAAAGATCAAAGCTTCACCAGTGGATCTTCAGAAGTACACTTCTTGATTACACTCTTGAAAGCATTCCTAAAAGCCCTTCACCGAGATTCGTGATTCCTGGCAGAGTTACCTCTCCTTCATCGTCATCATTTTTAGAGCCTTCTTCATTCCCAAGCTCCTCAGTTTCTACATCATCTGCTTCTTCTCTTATATAAAACCCGGGAACCAGGTTATTATCGTCTTCAACTTTCTTAACTGAACCCTCTTCTGAATCTTCATCGTCGGAATTGTAATCGCGAGCCTTCTTGTGAAGGAACTTCTTCACTCTCGGATCGACTTTCGTTCGCTCTCCCATTCCCGGGAACTGTTTTTGCTTCTTCCTCGCTTTGTTGCCGCCCTTTTTGTGCCCTGATTTCCGCTTGTTCATTCGGTTCCCGAAGTCTCGAACCTGTGTTTCCTCCCCCATTTTCCCCCCAAAGCTAATAGGGGAGAGGTTGAGAAGCGAACTATAACCGGAGACTGGAAACCGTGAAGGAAACGGCGACAGATATTACTTGGTCGTCGATGGTGGAGGAGACGGTGGTGAAGCAGCACTGTGTATTTGGGATTGCGGAAAGTATTTTCTGCCGGGCCGATGAGAAACCTGACGTTAGGGTTTAGTGGGGACAATTTTCTCCAATACTACCTCAAGTTTTGGATATGAGTCCAATGGGTACCCCATTTATGGGGGATTCTGCAAAAATGGAGGAGATGGTCCAATAGGGAGGTTTGGGCCTCCGAAAAATGGAGAATCCTGCAAATGGAACTTCAAATTTGGAGGTAGAAACGGGGGATCCCCCAAATATAGAGGCTCACCAAAGCTCGCCACGTGGCTTTTTTTTATCTTTTTAAGATTTTAGGGGTTAATTGAGAGTTTAATTAGAGGATTAGTTAGGGATATAATTATATCAATAATTTTCAAGTGTTGTGTGTAAACCCAAATTAGGTACATAATTTTTTGTCAAAAAAATTCGGACTCGGAATTTAACAAAATTCTATAGAAAAATTTGTATTAAAAAATGATGACGAACTATACAAAAATTAACATGAATAAATTATATTAAGGCTACGATAAGTACATTTTTAAGTAAATGGAAAAACTGGAAATATTATGAACCCCAAATATGAAGTTTGTTGCATTGGAGCAAAAGAAGGGAAAATGGGGTTCAATCCCCAAATTTGGAGTTCAAGGCCCCCAAATTTGGAGTTTTGCATTGGACTTGGCCTTAGGAAGTTAGGATACTCGGTTAGTTCTTTCTTTCATATTTGTTATGTAGATTATCTTTTACTTTTGGGCATTGCTATTCGTCGCCCTAAAATACCTAATTCGTCGCCCTAACGTTTACTAAAATGACTAAAATATCCTTCTTAATTTATTGTCTTTCGCACCCGCCGTTGGAAGGGCCGGAAAGATTGAAAAGCCGTATCCGGCGAGTTGGGACAGGTTTTAAACGGGAACGGCTACGGTGCTAATTGTACAATAGTTAGCACCGTCCTAACCAAGGAAAAAAATACTACTAGTTTGAATTAGTAGTGATTTAGCTTAGATGTTGTATTGATTTTATAATAATTCGTAGTGATTTTTGCTAGTTATCACGGTGCTAACCCCTATAAAGGTTAGCATCTAATCCCATCCCGTTTTAAACCCTTTCGACGCCTGAAAACAAAAAAAAAAAAGAAAAAAATCCCTCAAAGAAAAATGGAAGCAATGGAGAGCATCCCTATCACCACGTTACTCATTTCATTTTCTCCCGGCTAACTTTTTTGCTCTTCCCCCGGCTTCAAGAATTTCCCAAATCAAAACCAAAACTCAATATACAAAGGAATAAATAAAAAACAATCAGTACTCAAACGTGATTCGTTTGTCTGCTACCTGCGCAACAATATTAACTATCTCACAGCAACAAGACCAGTGCATAGACAGCAACTGTCGCCGTCGTTCATAGAGATAGAGAGAGAACGAACGAGGAGGTAGGCGGCGGCCTTCTTCGTCTTCTTTCTACTCACTTGGGATCAACTCCGACAATGGAAGCAGAGCACCGACGATGGTAAGGTTGAGCTGGGTAGCTGTCGGAGAGAAGAATTCGACAGCGACTGTGTCCGGGTTGAGGTCGGCGGCGGCTTGGGAAGGGTACAGTGGCGGGTGCAGGGGTGGCCACCCCGGGCCCCGCCCAGCCCTACTTTGGATCCATAATTAGTATAGGTCTTATGAATTTTTCGATTTTAGATATTCAGGTCGTTGTTATTTTAAAATAAGATTGGGTATAATTAGAAAAATAATTCAGATGAACATATTCAAAATCACTACTCTAAATTTAGTTTATAAATTCTAACCCCAAAGGTTATTCGTCTAAAAATACAATGAAACCTAAAAATTCAAAAAGTTTAAATAGTAACAGACTAAAACATATATGAGGTTTGTTACCTTGGAAAATTTACTAGAGAAGCTGGTGGATATAGGGATGGAAACACAATGCAAATTGATTAGTAGATTGATTTGTCTAGTGTTGATGCTGCTCGTTTCAACAGCTAATACGAATAGAACCTTTTCAACAACGAAACATGTGAACTTGATTTGCGCAACAAAATGAGCGATGGATTTCTAGTCGATTGCTCAAGTATTTTATTTGAAACAGTGTATACTATTGGTATGGATGTGGACTCCATTATTAATGCATTCGCTAAATTACAATACCGTCGTGTACAATTTACATTGTAAAAAAATTATAATCATTATATTTTTTACTATTCTAATTTTCTAATAAAATGCGGCCCAGTGCACTTCTGTGTTCTGGATCCGCCGCTGGAAGGGTAACAGATCATATAATCGCCCTTGTACAAATCAATCGCTCTGCCCAGCAGCCCCGTCAGCTCCCCTGCCTCCGACTCATCCGCCAAAGCGGTCGCCCATCAGACTAGGTTCCCGATCGAGTCTCCGTACAGTGGCGAATCGGTTATCCGCCGCAGTTTCACCTCCTCGACCAGGACCGAAGTCCTCCGCGTCCCGTCGGAGTCGAATTTGGAGGCCGCCATGCTTGGTTTCCATATGAAGCCGGACGCCGCCTCCACTCTTGACAACTTGATTGCTTTCCACCCCTGTTCTGACTCTGCCCGCCGCCGCCGCCCGACGCCAGGGATATCATTTTTCCAAGACGATCGAAGACGTAGCGGAGGAGATTGTTGTGGGCCGATAATTATTTTTTGAAATTTATTTATTTATATTAATTAAATAATTATTATGATAAATTATATACAAAAATTAAGTGGAATGATGAGGTGGAAAAATAAATTATATTTTAAATATTTTTAATTTTCACGTCATCTAGTTAATGGTCAAACTTTATAGTTGACTGCCACGTAGGGGTGTTCAAACGGATTGGTTACCGCGGTAACCATATTAACCGGTATCATTCGGTTAATATGGTTTGGTTAATGTGGATAATTGGTTTGGTTTGGTTAAACAATTTATCTGATTTGGTTTAGATGGTTTGGTTTGGTTTCAACACTACTAACTAATGAAACCAATTAACCAATTAATGACACCTAATATACAAAATTATTTATACTTCCATGCAACCAACCAAACCAAACTTTCGTGATTCCCTATTTTATTTCCATGTGCACAACAAACCAAAGCATTATGGGTCAAAAATTAAATAGGCCTGCCTATTTACTAAACCAAAACATTTTGGACATCTACTAGACTTTAGGATCACATACAATACCATGACAACCATCTCAAACTATGTATAGTTTAAGTGTTTTGTAGCAGAACTTTAACTTCCTCATGAGTGGAATTGGTATAAATTTAATATTTATGTTAAGGGTTTGTTGTAAGCTAACTATATTAGGTGCAGAGATGATGAATGATGTATTAACTCGAATGATGATGATAATCATGGATGGTTAGTCTTATTATTATTGCTTATATATAATGGTAGTTTATGATAGTAATAACATATGGTTATGTTTTATTCATTAGCATGATAATTATTTTCATGTAATTTTATTATTTGGTTAATTCGATTATCCGATTAACCAAATCAATTACACTTTGATATGGTTAATTTGGTTTTCGTGTTAATTTGGACGGTTTGGTTAAGACATTTTACTTCATGGTTAATGAAATTTAGGCTTAATTGGTTTGGTTATTACCACGGTAACCATTTGAACACCCCTACTGCCACGTAGGACAAATTTAACGGAGTGTAACGGCCGGTGACTAACGGTGAAACGATTCGTAAAGTTAGTGGTTAATAAGAAAGAAAAATAATTCGGGTGACAAACATGAAAAATTTGTATAATTTCAATGACCAAACGTGTAATTTAGCCTTTACTTTTTTACATAGATTTTTTTAAAGAAAGATAGAAGCATTCTTATTTGTATTAGTTACGAAATAGTTTTGAGATATACGATATACCCCATAACATCACATCCCTCTAACTTTGATGCACTCTCTAACAATGTGTTAGGCAGATTCATAATCATTAAGCAAGTGCCTGAATTACCAACTTAATGTGAGTTCACTCTTTTGTCTTTCTTTGTTGGTGATTACTTGATCATACATAACTAACCACAAGAAATGTTTCACCCTAATGGGACCTTTCCACTTCTAAAGGTCGTGTCATTGCTCTCCCATTTTTATCAATAAATTTGTTTCCAATGAACTTGATCGAATCGAGATAGGATTAGACAAAAAAAAAAAGAAAGGATCGAATTGGATCAACAACATATTTAGTTCATCTGATTCGACTCGTTCCAGTCAAAATTCAATTTCGATTCGATTTTTTATAGTTATGATTATTTATATGATCAACTCGAATCGAAGTATACTCGATTCGACCCTCTAAATATAATTCACTCCAATATATATAGGATTAGGGGTGGAAATTGGGATGGGTGTGGTTACCCGCCCCACATTTTGCGGGTAACCACATCCACAAATATAGAATTATACTACTCACAACCCGCCCCACAGTGGGTAGTGGTTAACCACTATCCACTGCGAGTTGGTGCGGGTTGGATGTGGATACCCACAAAAAATTTCCTTCCTTCACCCTTTGGACTAGTATATAATAAACCTAACGATCGAGTGACGACAAAAAAAAAAACACATTGAGTTAAAACTAAGTGAAGAAGCCCAAGACATGGAACGAGCGAAGATCCGATATTCGGAACCTCCTAAGTAGTCAACCTCCCTCTCCTCGGTTCACTTCACTCGCTTACATGTCACTTCACTTTCTTTAGGAAATGCAGATTGATAACGAGTATAGATTGAAGGGATCTAATCTTAATATACATAGCATCTTTATCAGCGACATGACTCCTTGCATTTTTACTTCGATTTTTTTTGGATAAATGGAACTCTCTCCCGAGTTGAGGAATTAGCGTATTCTTACACAAAAACAAAAACCTACATAAAAGAAAGTTAATCAATAAAGTGTTAAATAAACTATAAACCACATTTATCGTCTTTGTTTTGTTATAAAATGAACATATACCACACAGACAATACTTATTTAATAAAAGTATCACATACGAACACGGTGTATTGACTTATTTTTATTTTATAAAATAAGTATATATTTGATTTTGGAGCCTACTTTAATTTGTAGCATTCTACTGTTCACATACTTTAATATTACAAAGTATTATTAATAAATAAATATACTTAGTGCGGTTATTGTGGGTTTTGTGGGTTAACCGCTGTGGATAGTAGTTAACCACTACTATCCACAAATTGTGGGTATGGTTACCCACAATGTATGCGGTTTGGTGCGGCTTGTAGATTACCCCGCAATCCGCAAACCAAACTTCCACCCCTAGATAGGATCGTTGCCCATCCTTATATACAAGCAAGTATCCTTGAATCTATACATCATTAGTCTATTTCAAAAAACTATTAACCTTCTAGTCCCATTATAATTAACTCGATGACCTCTGCGCTTTGCCGCAACTATTTTACTCGTTTATTTTAGTATTCGAGTTTGCATCCGTTGATTTAGTTTTATGGAGTTACGATGTGGAAATTGTATTTTAAGTGGTAAATTAGTTTGGAGAGTGGGAGAAAAAAGCTGCTTATGGAGAATATGATCTAATAAATTGGAAACTTACATATTTCACAACTTATGAAAAAATGAAATTCCCGTAACTCTTTTGGTTATGGATGATATGCATTTGAAATTGTTTATAGTTAGTTATAAATACCTACTAAATTAGTGTAGTATATATGTCTTTATGTTATAGTGTATGAACAATTCTATCAATAGTTAACCAACGTTATATAACAATTAATCGTTGCACAATAAATCACTAGACCTTTTGGTTCAGCTACCGGACCGGTTCTGAAAACATTGTGTAAAAATTGTTAAAGAATTTTAGAAAGACTTAAAAGTATACAAAAATTGATAGATGTTGAACTCAAATACAGATCAATGAACTTATTTTTGGGTTGAGCATATCTTCAAACCCCTCCCGTGATATATTGGCAGCGGACAAATGGAAACAAGTTTTAGGTTTATATATACTAATTAA